TACAGACACACCTATTTGATTACTGAGCAAAATTAATAATCAACAGATACTCATTTGCGCTAATGCATTTGAGTGCTTACTGTAGGCCAGCCACTGTGGATGAGCCACTTTATATGCATTCTTCTCATTTAAATGTCAAAATGGTGGCTAGATGGTGGCATGCCTATGGTCCCAGCTACTCAGGAGGCTGAGTTGGGAGGATGCTTTGAGCCCAGGAGCCTGTGGTTACAGTGAGCTGTGATGTGCCACTGCACTCCAGCCTGGGCGACAGAGCAAGACCCCATCTCAAAAAAATAAATATCAAGGTATCTTTATGGGGCAGATACTCTGTAATTCCCATTTTACAAATGAGGGAAATAGGGTTAACAAAAAAACGAGTGTGAAGGAGCTGGAACTGTAACCTAGGAGCAGCTGAGCTCATGTTTTTAATCACAGTACCTACAATACACTTCCTTTAGTCTATTGATGACCACTTTACCTTGGGAAAACTTAAAACTTGTCAAAGACAGGTGAAAAGTTTAAAGCCCCACTTTACTAATTAGAGTTAACTGCTTAATTCAAGGAAAGGACACTTATGAAACTCAGGAGACCTCTCCATACAATTAAATCAATCAATAGAACAGACTCATGAAGTTTTGTGGGGTATGTTGCCTAGGCTGGTCTGGAACTCCTGGGCTCAAGTGATCCTCTTGCCTTGGCCTCCCAAAGTGCTGAGATTGCAGGCATGAACCATCATACCCAGCTCACAATAAGGTTGAATACCTTTAAGTTGCTTTGTAAACTTATAGGGCAGTGGTTACATTCATGGGTTTTGGAGTGATCAGACCTGAATATAAATTGTATCACTTGCTGTCTGTCTCCAATCAAGTTGCTTAATCTGTTAAACTTATAGTCCCTTTATCTATAAAAGCAGGAAATGACATCCTGCCAAATGTCATTGTAATGTCTGAGAATGCATGTAGTAAAACTATAAACTACTTTTTAAGAGCAGTTTAAAAGTTAGCATCACAGAGAATGCAGTCAGCAAAATCCAGAACATTGGAAGTTTTACATAACATGACTTCATTACTTTGTTGAATGACCCACTTCCTTGAACAACTTCAAGGACGAGAAAGAGAGAATGAGGGAAGGTAATAGGTTAGGAGGCTGAAGAGATATTAACCAAACAAAATGTACAGGCCTTGTTTTGATCTCAGTGTAAACAAGCCAGCTGTAAAACTTGTGAGCCAGTGGAGGAAATTTGAGCACCAACTGGGTGTTTAATACTAAGAAAATACTAGTTCATGTATGACACATTGGTATTATGGTATGTGTTTTAAGAGCCCTTGTCTTACAGAGATACATACTAAAATATTACAGAGGTAATGATGTCTGGGATTTGCTTCAAAACGAGGTGGGACACAGAAGGGAATAGGTTATGGATAAAATAAGAAGGACCATATGTTGATTATTGCAGCTGATGAAATAGAAAATTGCCACCTAAAGATCCTTGTTACTCTTTTCCAAAAAGTTAGTATGTTTATATCGAGTCTTCCAGGATCAGCCTTGCCCCACAGGTCTCTAACAGATAACAGTGGCATCAAAGGTGTTAGTCTTAACTGATCAACATGTGAGAGGTTCCCCTCTCAGCCAGTACCCACTTTGCATCCAATCTGTGAAATGGGATCTAGAAAACAGGAATTTAGGTATATATTAAGCCAACTCACAATTTTATTAGGTGCTAATGTGTAATGGAAACTGATAGAGATGAAACCAAAATTTCTCCATAACGGATGTAGCAAACCAAATGTACAGCAGAGGAAGCCACAGTCAAACCCGAGGTCTCAGCTTGCTAATTCTGACCACGTACCCACTCACACTTCCCCCACCCAACTTCAGAGGGAAGCAATTGAAAATAAAAGCAGCCTTTACCAAGGAACATTCTAAAGAGCAACTTGAGCTCAGTACCAAGTTCGCTCAGCGAACAATCCCTTTAACATGACCAGACTGATTATCATTGATACTGCAGTTCAGAATGATAATTCTGAGGCTTTGAATGACCTTCAGTCATTAGACTGTATTTGACTGAAGCAAAAAAACCGTTTACTGCCTTTTAGAATATTCATGAAAAGCATGGCTTAAATCCAGAGAGGACAACTAATTACACGTAGTATGATACTTTTCAAAACTATTTGACAAAATATTACCTATGAGCAAAGCTGACTTAACCAGTCTCACGTGGACCAAAATACCAGTTTCCTTTCCTAACCTAGAGTGTCTTAGAATATTTCATAATGTGACTGCCTTGAAAACAAAGATGGTGAACCTGATTATGTTGCTCTATTGCTTCTGACTTAAAAAGACATCCGTTAGACCTCTTGCCATAAAAGCAATAGAACAAGACAATCAGATTTACTTATTCATTCAACAATCATTTTTTGTTTCTGTGTGCAAGGCACTGTGTTGGGTGCCAGAAAAGGAAGAAGATAGAAACAAATGTGAGTGTACTCTGCCCTCCAGGAGCGTACAATCTAGAAAGAGCAGTTAACTGCTTACAAATAGCTGTGATACCAGATAGAAAGTGGTAAGTGCCGCAGGGGATTAAGTACTATGGGAAGCTTTCTTAGCTCTCAACTGCAAAGTAAGGCCAGATCAGGTTTTATTCCATCACCATGTATGGCAGGCATGAAAAGGCAGCTGAGGGCCTGCTAGGCTTTGATGAACTGCATCTTGGATCTTGCTTCCTCGGCTGAGCTTCTAGTATTAGCAAGGGCACCTGCTATCAAAGAATAGAAGGACAAAGACAAGGAAATAGATACACAGATAAAAATATGCACATAGAGCACACCAGGGTAGTCTGTACTGACAGGGCCCCGGGTACTGCCTTGATGGAGGGACAGGACAAAGAATAAGGAAGAAAGAACACTGGGCTACACAGCAGGATTCCAGATGCTCGCAGTGATGACACCTCAGGCAATCACTAGGCCTCAGTTCTCTATCTCTGAGATGAGGAAGTTACACCAAAGGATACTGTGTGGCTCTCCAATCAGTGAAAAGCACAGGAAATTATGTCAGTGCTTTTGTCCCCCTTTTCATCGTCTGTAGAAGAGCCCCTAAAAAATTGCTTTAAAAACTAGAGTGACCCCCCGGACTTCGATACAGAAATGTAATACAAAAAGGGTTACTTGTTTTTAGCTGTTGTTTTTAGCTGCAATTAATGCTTCAGAAGTGAAACGCTCGTGTCCCTTGTTGTAAACAAGGCACTTTTCCGATTTGCTCAGCTTCAGCCACTTCTGCCTGACAGTATGTAAACCAACAGTCCAAAAGCTCTCAACTCCATGGCTTTCTGTTTTGGTTATTAAGAAAACTTCAGAGAGAAGATAAAACATTTTGGTCGAAAGTCCTGCACAACCTTTGAGTTTAAGTAGCCTGTTTGTCTATCAGTTCTAAGGATTTCAGTTTTTCAACAGCTTCATTGTTTTAAAAGCTTGAGCAGAGGCCCTAGAAGTTAGGGGGGGAAAGCAGAGTGAAGGGCCTGTTTTTTAAACAGAAGGTGCCTCGAGGGAAAAGGTAAGAAAAAGACATGCAAGCTAAGTAATTTCTGTGCTACAACTTCTTGGCCCTTTGCCTGGCAGAAATATAACACTACCACGGGAGCAATTTCTGCGACCCCAAAGAGGCCAACAGAGCCAAGTTTACTCTGCCTGCTATTCACTGTTCTTTTCATGTTTTGCCAGGGCACCACTTCCATCCTCGAGACACGGTCTACCTATAGCAGAAGGTTAGCTTAGTGGCCCTCTTGCTTCCGCCAAGGCTAGACCAATCCAGGGCCAAAAAAGGACACATGACATTTAAACTTTGGGGACCACACATCTTGCTTAGCCACCCAGTTCTGTCTCACCAGAGTGAATAATCACTTTGGATTCTGCCATAAAACACCTAAACGCCAATGCTTGATAACAACATTAAAGCACAAACCAGAACTGAGGATAAACTGCCAGGTTTACTCTTCCCTGCAAGAGCTGGCAGACAGAGCTGACAAGATGAACTGTGCTCATCAACTGCAAGAGTCTACAAGTAATAGCTCCAAGGAACAGAGGCTGGTTGTATATTGCTATGTCCATGAAACAGCTTGTATTGGGTCTCAATTCAAAAAGTGGTCAGTGCAGAAGGGCAGAGGGTTAACCTAGCACCAAACAGAGTGCTAACAGGCTGGATTTCGTTGACAATGAAGGACTGACTATTCCTGCTTCTAATCAGATTACCAAATCACCTTTCTAAACCCATTAAAATATACAGTTGGAATAATTACAAGAATAAGACTGGTGAGAGCCAGAGCGATTTTATGGGCTAGGGGATGATCAAGGAGGCAGTGGCTTTTAAACAAAAGTTCTGGATAAGTTTGGTTTTTAAATTTATTTTTCCTTTCTATAAACAGGAATTACATTGCACCTGGGAAAATGGCTTACAGGGTTTCACAAATTCTGCAAAGAAATAGATATATTTTGAATGTCATTTTGTGTTGACATTACTTCATTTTAATTTTTAAATTTTATGTATTTGTTTAGAAATGAGGTCTCACTGCGTTGCCCAGGCTGGTTTTGAACTCCTGGTCTCAAGCAGTCCTCCCGCCTTAGCCTCTCAAAGTGCTGGTGTTACAGGCATGAGCCACCACACCCGGCCTGCTGGCATTCTTTTGAAAAGCTTTTTAGCTGACAGTCTCATAAATCTTCAAATTATATTAAATGAAGGTGTCACAATACAGGCAAAAAGCATAATTAACTCTTCTTCTTTTGTACAGATTAACAGTGTTTTGCACTCTGACTTTTCAGTAGACTTGAACAGCTTTGCTCATCTCTTAAGTGTTCCCACTAGGGTCTGTCCTGTATTTCTCTGGCAGGCAAGGCAGTCCTGTTCCTATATACAAATAACCACTTTCAACATACAGATGATTAAAAAACACCTTCCAGCATTGGGGTTCAGGCTAAAGTTGAGAACCAGAAATCTACAGAAACTCAATCCATGTTTTTTAAATACTTTATATGGTAAAAATACAGCAAAAATAGTTTTTTGTTCAAAGAGGAAAATATATACTGCTATGGTCACGGTTCTAAGGATGATGTAAAGTTGTTTCTGGCTCCTCAACTGTGCACTGTAGTGTAGGCGGACTTCAACCACAGCTTCTCCAGCTTCAGTCATTTATCAAAGCTAAAATCATACTGTGAAAAGAAGAAATTAATGTTACTAATGTTCCCTTAGGAGTATTCCTTCAGAGTCTCGTCTGGTATACACATTCATGAAGGAACATTCATTTGAGTAAAAGACAATAATTTATACCCAAAGGAAAGAATATATCAGGGCCTCTCAATGTTCTAATTTTTTCACGAAGAAAAAAAGTAACTGGGGTGAGGCTGGGGGTATTATAACCTAAAACCAATACTGGGCCATAGATTAAAAAAAAAAAAAAAAAAAGTTGGATCCAGGAAAAAAACCTTGAATTCTCTAGCCAGATCTTTATAAATACTGTCAATAAGTCTAGACTCCCCATCAAACTAGTAGAAATTCCTTACCATATGCCTTTGAAAACGCATGCATTCTTTAAAAACAAACAATAAATTCCTAATGAGGCTTCATGACTGGGGTCAGAGGCACCTCGTTTGGGAGCTGGCCTCTCAGCCCAGAACAGTGACAGGACTTCCTTCCATACTCGCCACCTTCCTGCCGGCTGCAGCTTACGTGCTGGTCTACCACTGGACTGTGAGCTCTTCTGAGACAAGAGCAGGACCCGCTGGGGCATCACTGCTTCATGTTCTACTAGCACTCCAGTGCTGCAGTGACCAGCTCCAAGCTTCTACTGTAGGAATTCTGTGCTGCTCCTGTGTGTCACTTGCAGTGTCTTACACAGAGCAGTCACCCAATAAATACTACTCTACTAAAACCGCCACGGTTAACAAGCAGCAATAACAAAACCATCCTTTCCTTTTAAATACTGGGATCAGCTTTGCTCTGCTGAGATCAAATGCCTAAAACGCAGAGAGGTTAAGAAACTAGCACCAAGTCACAAATAAGTGGTAGAGTCCAAATTCCACTAGGTTAGCACCTAACTAAAAAACCTAAAGGATTCTTTAAAGAAGATGAGGATTTTTTTTCAAAAATTTAACCCTATTTAACAAGCCCTACATGCCTTCTCTGTGCAAGGCACCACACAATGTGTGGCAGGTGTTAAATACAAACAGGGGCAGCATAAAATCCCTGTAATCAAAAGCTGAAGACTTGGTAAGAAAACCACTTTTTTTTTTTTTTTTTTGAGTTGGAGTCTCTGTCACCCAGACTGGAGTGCAGTGGCCGCTCCCGGTCACCGCAGCCTCGACCTGCTGGGCTCTGGCGATCCTTCCGCCTCAGCCTTCTGAGTAGCCGGAATTACAGAAAACCACTTTTAAACAACAGCAACCAAAAACCAAGAGAAAAATGTACAAAGACATCTTCTGAGACAACTCCATCCTGACCCCTTGTATGAGTAACACCAAGGGGTAAGGTGACAGCAATGCAGCTAAAAGTGATGAGAGAGAAAAGGAAAGGATGCAGCCGGTGAGGAATGCAGCTGTCCAAGCCAACCAGATATATAGGTTGCTTGTCTCTTTTTTGTTGTAAAGAGCCATACCTTAAACCTGTCCCACATTGCTGCTTGATTCCTCCAGGTCATTTTCCCACAGCTTTAAGTTCAACAACTCAGAAATTCTTGTACATTTTTAAATCCTAAGACTGGGCCTACTAAGCAAGATACTGTTCCCCAAGCTACATTTACTCCCCAAAGTGTAACTTCATGGCTGTACCTACAGCACCGCCCCAAGAAAGCCCACGTGACCTAAACCCCGGAATGTCTGCTCTAGTTTACTTTCCAACAGTGTGAAGCCTGTAGGGGGAAAGAATGAAGAAAATCATATCAGTTAAGACAATCCCTGCTTATTTTTTGTCTTCAGAAATGGACAAATAAAAGGGAACATACATGATGTTAAGGATATACAGTAATAAAACAATAGGTGCATTATTATGGTTTTTTGTTGTTTTTTTTTGAGTTGGAGTCTCACTCTGTCGCCCAGACTGGAGTGCAGTGGCTGCTCCTGGCCACAGCAGCCTTGACCTGCTGGGCTCCAGCGATCCTTCTGCCTCAGCCTTCCGAGTAGCTGGAACTACAGGCGCACGCTACCACGCCCGGCTAATTTTTTTGATTTATTATAGAGATGAGGTCTTGCCTGCCCAGGCGGGTCTCCAACCCGAGGCCTCAGGCAATTCATTCACCTCAGCCTCCCAAAGACGTGGGATTACAGGCTGAGCCACTGAACCCGGCTTCATTATGTTAATATTAAATTTATTTGCTCTTTATTCTGCATCTTTGATACCCGGATTAAAAATTAAGCACATTAGCACGGAAAACCAGAAACTGATGCCAGTAGACTTTCTCTGCCCCAGTTCTTTGTTTTGTTTTTTTGAGTTGGAGTCTCACTCTGTCGCCCAGACTGGAGTGCAGTGGCCGCTCCCGGCCACCGCAGCCTCGACCTGCTGGGCTCCGGCGATCCTTCCGCCTCAGCCTTCCGAGTAGCCGGAATTACAGGCATGCGCCACCACGCCCGGCTGATTTTTTGATTTACTGTAGAGATGAGGTCTCGCTGCCCAGGCGGGTCTCGAACCCGCGGGCTCAGGCAATCCATTCACCTCAGCCTCCCAAAGGCGCGGGATTACAGGCTGAGCCACCGAGCCCGGCTTGCCCCAGTTCTTAAAATACAGAAAAGCAAATAAGATCAATAGTGAAAAGAAAACTATGCAAGCTCCAATTTCAATCTAATCTAACTTATACTAATGGGTGGATTTCGTACAGCAAAAGAATTTTAGGAAGCCTTCTATGTCAAACAGAGACTAGAATGGCTCTGACTTCTAAACAATTTCAGACAAATTGGTAATTTTTAAAAACTGCTACCTCTATACAGTTTCTTTTATATATATTCCTATGCACACATATATATCTATACACACTTTTATTTTAAAGATGTGGGTACAAGTCAGGATTAGGTACATAAGTAACCAACGTGCAGGTGAAGTTTGGGCCTCCACCTGTCCTCACTTCTCCTGGTTTAGAATCAAGTACCCTTTATGTTATTATGTGGCCTTCCCCCAGCCCGTTCCTCTCTTCCCTTCTATGCAGTTCCTTTTTTTTTTTTTCAGGTTAGAAAATATAGTTTATTTAGAAAGCAAATTAGGGAGAGAGGTGATTCACCTCCCCGAGGGAGGGAAGGGGGCCAAAGCTTAGGAAACATGGCAGTGGCCATAGCTCAAAGAGCACATGGCACACCAGAGACTAGTAAGGCAATGGTCTCTATACAGTTTCTAATCAGGAATTTTCTAAAAGAAGTTTACTTCAGTACAAGTTTTTCCAAACAGTCCTTATGCATATGTGAAAAATTAAAATTCACCTGGGGAAAAAACATGTGTGATTCTAATTAAAGCTTTGATACAAAAGTTAGGCCTGATGTCTAGCTTCTGAAAAGGTTTCCCAATCATATACACATGAATATTTTTTCTCTCCTTTGCTCTATTCTATGGTTCTATGATAGACAAAGGAAAGGTGACATGTTCACCTCTAAAACATAAGGGAATAAGTTTAAGTTTAAAACAGAACTACAAAAGGCTTCCAGTGTCTGACAGCCAATCATTCATATTAATTCTTACTTTCATTGTGTTATAACTGTAAGACTGATGCAATTTTACTAAAACAGATCACTTTTGCTGGAGAATCAGCCTGACACCTGAATTCCTTACTGCCAAGAAAGATCAGTATAATTTGGATAAAAGGTGTCAAGAGTGGCTGCCCTGGAGACCCAGGAGGAGGGGGATGGTGTCTGAGGGTACATATATCAATGCTTATAACAGGCAGTGAAACCTCACAGCTGTAAACTAGGGCAGGAAAATAATAGCAAAGATAGTTTCAAACATGTTGACATACTCAATAAGGCATAACTAAGATACCAGAGTAAATCTACTATAGGTCAGACAGAACACTGATTCAATGACACACATGAAAAATCTACACAGCCACAAGGACATCACATAATCCCCAAAACGGATGTTTTGCAATCTCCGTGCAAAATCCTACAGTAATATCTCACCAATCAAAAGCAAATATGGCCTCTAGGAAAGTGTCCAGAGGACTTTAAACTTACCTATAAAGATACATGAAGAAACAGAGCAAATGAAAGCCAAGCTTGATCATGGCTTCCTTCATGTGTGACTTCAGCTGCCCTCGATTATGTATTTCTGTTGGATCAAACACTCCCATGTTACCACTTGGAACCATAATGAATCTGATAAATTAAAGGATACACACATTAGAAGGAAATTCAAATCACAGGCAAAAATATTCAAAAATTAGAAGCCAATAATAATTGACCTCTAAAAGTGAACCAATCATACCAGTCTTAAATTCAGACCAAATATGGGACAGACTAAGATGATAATGTCATGGGCTACCACTTAGTTTTCCTTTGAAAATTATAATACCGTTATTTTTCTGCCCTCTGAAATATATACAATAACATTCTAGAGAAGGATATTTTATGTACTAGAACCTTTTACCTTGTCTTCTGTAGAAAACCACCACACCAGTCATAACTACAGCCCTTTTCCATTAGACACAGGTTGAAGAAGGCTCCAAGCCAAACTAACATCATGAAGTTCTTAGAAACTTCTTTATGGAAACTGGGAAATTCAAGAGGTTGGGTTACTTTGAAAGGATCAATGAGTTCACATATCTGGCCTTCAACATCCACACTGTGCCATCTGTGTAACATAAATGTCCCAAGCTGGTACTGTCCATGAACTCTTCCTGCTCTCGTGTCTACACTTTTCCCAGTAATCCCTGGGTTCCTCACTCTTGTCACACACTCGTTTCTCAACGATCACTTCTGTGAAATGCAGAGGCCTCTCTGAGTTCCACAAATCTTAAATTCTTCCCCAAATCTCATTAATCCATCTATAGTTAAATGGAGGGTATTTTCATTTCAATATTCAGGTAACATCCTCCAAAAGTCTCAGAGAGTCTTATCTTTCTCTGACTTCTAGGTTATCTCATAAGAATTTCACCATTTTCTTTGTGGTCTTTACAAAATTCCTCTTACTCAACTCTGACTTCTCACCACCTCACCTTTCACAGCCAAGTCCATCAAACTCTTGTCCATTCTCTCTTCCTACCACCACTTACGTAGCTGTCTCTTTTTCATTCCCAGCATCACAACCCTGTTCCAGCATATGTTATCTCACCTCAGTCTCTAAACTGGGTTGACCTACCCCCTGGCTCTTCATCCAATCAATAGTACACAATGTTTCCAGAAAAATCTTCCCAAAGCCTAATTTATTTCATGTCAATTTGGCTGCTCAAAAACCTATAAAGCAATGAAGATATATAAATGACTAATAAACATATAAAGGATACTCAATAACTGGCCGGGCTCGGTGGCTCAGCCTATAATCCCAGCACTCTGGGAGGCCGAGATGGGTGGATTGCCTGAGCCCATGGGTTCAAGACCTGCCCGGGCAACTTGGTGAGACCTCATCTCTACAATAAATCAAAAATTAGCCGGATGTGGTAGTACACGCCTGTGGTTCTGGCTACTTGGAAGGCTGAGGCAGAAGGATCACTGGAGCCCAGCAGGTTGAGGCTGTGGTGGCCAGGAGCGTACCACTGCACTCCAGCCTGGGCAATGGAGTGAGACTCCAACTCAAAAAAAAAAAAAAGAAGGATACTCAATACCATTAATCATTAATCATTAAGGAAACATAAATTGAAACAATAACCACTTCACACCTAACAGTATGGCAAAAATAAAAAAGACACATAATAACAAGTGTTGGCAAGGATGTAGAGAAATTAGAACCCAAATACACAATTGGTAGGAATGTAAAAATAGAGCTTGTAAACACTCAGGCAATTCCTCAAAGTTTAAACATGGAATTACCAAATGACTTGGTAATTCTACTCCTAGGTATCTGTTCAAGAGAAATGAAAATACATGTTTACAATAAAAACTTGCATATGAGTGCTCATTTATGATAGCAAAAAAGCAGAAACAACCCAAATGCCCATCAACTGTGAATCTTTATAATTTTCTTTATAAATGTGGTATAATCATACAATTAAATATTATTCAGCAATAAAAAGGAATGGAGTACTAATACACGGTACAAGATGGATGAACCCTGAAACATTAAGGTAAATGAAAGAGTAAAGGTAAAAGACTATGTATTGATCCCTTTTATTTGATAATATCTGTCCAGAAAAGATAAACTGATAGAGACAGAAAATAGATTGGCGATTGCCCAGGGTTGGGGGAGCAGAGGGCATAGGAGTGACTGGTGATGGGTATATGGAGCTTCTTTTCAGGGTGATAAAAATGTTCTAAAATAGATCATAGTGATGCCTCCATAAATCTACATATATACTGAAAATATACTTTAAATGGATGAATTTTATGCTACCAGTACTTGTATTTGCACATATAAACTCCCTGGACCAGCACCCAAGGTTCTGTGTGACCCACTCCAATAGAACTTTCCAGCTTTGTCTATTACTACTCCCTCTTGTACATGATTTCTGCCTAACTGGCCTTAAATGTGCCTTGTGTGTTTGTACAAGCCTTCCCTCTACCCCTCCTTTTATCCTTCAAACACTGAGGAATTCTCTCCCCATTCCTCTCTGTCAAATATCCATCCTGTAGGGCTCTGCTCAGACACTATGTACTCCTTGAAAATGACCCAGTAATCCAACTCTACTCCCAACTCAAAAAACCCTTAGGATCTTTTTTCATCTGGTAACTATCTTACACTGCCTTAAGACAACCCTTACTTAACTAGCATATTTTGTTATTAAACATTTTGCCTCTTTGTCCTGTGGATAGAGTCCATTTCATATACGTCTGTAGTCCCAACAGCATAAACTACAGTAATCTGAAAAGAGTAAAGGAACAATACAAGGGGAGACTCAAAAAAGCCCAGGAATTTATTTATGAAAAATTGTGTGTGTATTCTTACATGTTTAAACTTCAGTCACCTTCAAGTACTGTTTGATGCAATATACCTATCAAGATGCTTCTTCCAGCCGGGTTCAGCAGCTCAGCCTGTAATCCCACGCTTTGGGAGGTTGAGGCGAGTGGATTGCCTGAGCCCGCGGGTTTGAGACCCGCCTGGGCAACTTGGTGAGACCTCATCTCTATAATAAATTTTTAAAAAAAATCAGCCAGGTGTGGTAGCGCATGCCTGTAATTCCGGCTACTCAGAAGGCTGAGGTGGAAGGATTACCAGAGCCCAGCAGGTCGAGGCTGCAGTGGCCGGGCACGGCCACTGCACTCCCGTCTGGGCGACAGAGTGAGACTCCAACTCAAAAAAAAAAAAAAAAGATGCTTTTTCCAGTGCTCAAAACACTTTCTGAACTGGTCAACTTTGATGCCTTTTAGTGCTTCTGCTGTTTTTTGTTTCACTTCTTCCAATCAGCAAAACTACCAGTGCTCATGAGCAAAACATTTCCCTTGGAGGACTTTTTTCCTTGGGAAAACAAAAAGTTGCTGGGGAACAAGACTGGGTGACTAGGGAGGGTGGGGCACCAGTAGTCATGCTGTTTTTGGTTAAAAACTGCTGAACACTCAGTGCAGTGTGGGCAGGTGTGCTCGTAATCACCCATCATGAAATGGGCAAATCTACGGAAAGAATCTCCAAAAAAAAATTCACTGAAGCCGAACACAGTCTCTTACAACAATGCTAGCTGGTACACTGATGCCGATGGGTCCCTAGAACACTCACCTAGCAGGGAAAGCCTATACTATAAGGAGCCTGCCCTCCAAAAGATAATTTTGGTTTATTTCGCCTCCCCCCATACGCTGATTTTTTTTTAGCTTTTAAAATAGTTGGCTGGGTTCAGCGGCTCAGCCTGTGATCCCAGCACTTTGGGAGGCCAAGGCAGGTGAATTGTCTGAGCCTGCGGGTTTGAGACTAGCCTAGGCAACTTGGCGAGACCTTGTCTCTACAAAAAAATAAAAAATTAACCGGGTGCAGTAGCACGCGCCTGTGGTTCCTGCTACTGGGAAGGCTGAGGCGGAAGGATCGCTGGAGCCCAGCAGGTCGA